TAAACCCTTAACCCTAAACCCCGAAGTTCCTTAACAGCAACCCAGCTAAGCCTTCACTAAGGCCCAGACCAAGGGCCCCAACGTCGAGTTGGTCAGGACGGGCGGGACGACGGGGATTTCGCTAAGACAGGATCACGGTTTAGGGTTTAGGGTTTTGGGGTCAGGACAGGCGGGGAGACGGGATTTCGCTAAGACAGGATCCCTTTGTTGCATCGAGTTGCCTATATATAACCTGAAACTCGAAACAATTGAAAGCTACATCCCAACCTACAAACTTCGTAAACTCTAAATCCCAATCCATATTCGGGTTCATGAGAAGAGCCTTACCTTCCGCTCCGTAGCCGAGATGCATTGTGTCTGAGATCGCGAAAGGCTGTCGCTGACGTCGGTCATCTTGCGTTCGATGCAGCCCTGGTCGTTTGGGGTTTAAGTTTTAGGGCTTGCGGGCTTCTAGGGCTCAGGGCTTAGGGCTTAGGGTTTAGGGGGTTTCGGGCTCATAGGGCTTTGGGTTTAGAGTTTGTCTGCTCTGGCCAGCTGTCTCTCAGCCCACACGAAAAACCTCAATTTTGGAACGAGCAAGAAGCTTACTTGAGGCAACGATCACATCATTCCACACTCGCACCCCCCCAGGAACCCGAGACATCAGTCATCGACAACGACGGCAGCAGGATCACTACAGCGGCCTTAATCAATACCTACACTAGATTCGGGGTTCCTTATTACACTTCTGGTTTAAAGTAACCCAAAGCCCTGTTCTTAGTATAAAGGGCCCTACGTTAGGGGTTAAGGGCTGCAGGTTCGGGGATTGTGTTCGGCCTTGAAACATATTTCTTAGGGTTTAGGGTTTAGGGATCCCTTCTATCCATAGCAATACCATCCCTTTTAGCCGCTATATCCTTACACTATAATTCCCTTAACCCTAAACTCTAAACCCTAAACACTATAATATACCTCAACTTCCTATTACACGTGCTACGGGCCCTTCGTTGGAGTTGCCGAGCGCCATGACCCAGAATTCAGGTTCTGTGTTTGGGCTGGCTCGGGTTAACTTATAGGGCTTAGGGCTTAGGGGGGTTTAGGGTTTAGGGCTTCGGCGTGCATTACCCATAAAAAAAAGGGTTTAGGGTTTAGGGTCCGTAATAAGGAACATACCATAGTTCCCTTTAATCAGGGTCCTTAAGGTATTGCAGGATGTATATCATCAACCGTGCTCTAAGGAGCCTGCCCCGAACCCAGAACCAAATCGTGCACGCGGACATTTCTCTCATCACCAGATTATATCAACTTTTTCTTGCGGAGGGTTTAGGGTTTAGGGTTTAGGGTTTAGGGTTTAGGGTTTAGGGTTTAGGGAGCATCTTAAGACGCACGTGAATCACCAAAAGAACAGAACAATCAGAAACTTCAACAATCCAGCAGCTCATGGAGCCATAGCCAGTAGGACTGCTCATAGGCCCCATTGTAGTTCCTTTTTGGGATTACCTTATAGGATTCTAAATATGAACCCAAAAAAGGAACTACTATGGGGCCTATGGGTAATAACAACAAAGTGGAATCAGTGGCTGCAGCAGTCGTCCTCGCAGCTGCTGCCCGCAGTTGTCAGCAGGAGTTCAGACTCCGCGACGATGGGAGTATTTGCCCATAGGCCCCATAGTAGTTCCTTTTTGGGATTACCTCATAGGATTCTAAACAAGGAAGTACTATGGGGCCTATGGGTAGTTACACTACTGGCAAATCCTGGCGGTACGCTTCACAAGCGCTCTGGACCGTGATACTGCTCAAAAAGTCTTGCACCGCCTTCACTAGCTAAGTCAACTACGTTCCGAGGACGACAAACTTGGTCATCCGCTGTCAATCATATTTAAAGTACATTTGTAATAAGGAAGCCTAAGGCATGCTATTGCGACTTACATTAGTATCTACATCCTAGACGTGCCTAACCTCATATACCCTAAACCCTAAACCCCTCAACCCTAAACCCTAAACCCTAAACCCCCCAAACCCCTAAACCCTAAACCCTAAACCCCTCAACCCTAAACCCCTAAACCCTATAAGGTATAGGCTTACTTGGGGGCCGAGCCTCCATGTCAACCAAGCGGCGCTGGGTGAACTCGTTGCCTGAACGCTAGACAGAGGCTTAGGGTTTGGGGAGTAGGGTTCAGGGTTTAGGGTTTAGGGTTTAGGGTTTAGGGTTCAGGGTGTAGTTAAAGGAAACAGGTGAGGAGTTTAGGGTTTTTAGGGCTTCTAGAAGGCTTCCATAAGGTATATAGACCTTCTATAAGGCTCCTATATAACGGTAACAACGCACCTGAAAATGTCCTAGATGTAGGGTGTGTTGATCAGGGTTATATATGGGCCTAGGAACGAGGACTAAGGCAGTAGGGATTGGGGATGATTGGGGTCTAGGAACTGGGATTATGGATTGGGAGATTTGATTTCAGTCGTTGGAGTTCTGGTGTTGAAAGCACTCGGCCAGGTGAT